CATCGGGCTCCCTGCTCGGCGGGAAGCCTGCTTCTCCCTCTCCCACTCCCCCTGCTTGTGTTCCCTCTCTCTCTCTGTGTCTCTGTCAAAAAAATAAATAAAATCTTTAAAAAATAAAAAAAAATAAAAAAATAAATAAAGACAAATATGAACACACTCTGTGCTTATGTCCAAATAATCCATTGTCCACCAACTTCCGGGAAACGGATCTCCGCAACAGCCCATATGAAAAGGGTGAGAGGTTTCAGTCATCAAAAAGCCCAATAGGAACCAGCAACCGTGGCATGAAACATGATCTCAAGCTGCATCAATAGAAGCATAACAGCTGGGAAAAGGGAGGTGAAAGTCCCATTTTGCTTAGCACAGGAACATTCCCACCTTGAGGCAGAGGGGTGTTAGCTCTGGTGTTACATTCTAAGACATGAAAAATTAGACTCTCCATCTAGAGGACAGTGGCCAGAATGGTGAAATGTCTGAAAACTACATCACATGAGTCTAGCTGAAGAAACTGGGATTATTTAGGTTGATTTCCAGAAGTTACAGGATGTCTTTTTTTTCTCTTGTCAAATTTTCCGAGAGCTGCCTTAGAGAAGGAAGCTCAGATTCATCTTCTTTGTGGATGTGAAGGGCCAGGGAAACAGATTTCAGCGCAATATACGGAAAAATTTTCTAACAGCAGGGTCTGAAAATGAGATAAATTCTCTCATCTGAGTAGTAAGAAGGCCATCGAGGGAGGTAATCAAGAGATAATGGAGGGATATTGAACTACATAACTTCTGATGCTCCTCAAAACTCCAAGAACACTGGCTTTTTTTTCTTCTTTCTCCCACCACTACCGAAGAGCTAGAGAGGACAAACTCTGATAACCCAACAGAGAGACTGGCCATAAATCCAGAATGGCTTAGCCCAGAAGACACCACCTGTGTCTCCAACCGCCCAGCTTCCCTGCCTCTTCCCAGCTCCCCAAAAGGCCCCCTGGAAGGTGGGATGTAACAAGGAAGACTCACCTTTCTTCTCAAAGTCCCCCTTCTCTTCTCCAGGCCGGCCCAGACTGTCCAGGGTGTGCGTCCCTTGGCTGCCAAACTCATCCTCCCGGGAGACGTGGTTGGCCCGCCGGGGTAGGTCCTCATCCTCTTCGTAGTCATAGTCATCCAGGATGGGGGTCTCCCGGATGGGCACGCCAATGACAGAATTGTGAGCCTGCAGCCGAGAGGAACGGAAGCTTTCCCGGGCCTGGGGTCCCAGCAGCACGGACGGGATGTAGTGAATCTCATGAGTGGCTTCCGTGCTCGCGCTCTTCTGGGGGATTCGGTGGCGCTTCTGCCAGCGCCGCTGGGCATACAGAGCCACAGTGAACACCAGCAGCAGAAGCAGCAGCGCGATGAGGCCACCCTGGAGCAGAAGGGAAGAAGGACAAGCGAATCGGCCACCGTTCTTTGGGCTAGAGTGCCAGAGGGGGGTTTCCTGTCCACTACACCCAGCCCAGATCCCTGGGTGTGGCTCATAAAGACTCAGGAACTGACAGCCGCAGCTTTAAAGCCAGAGAGATGCTGCTTCCAAACCTTTCTCACCCACAAACCAACTGTGTGACCTTGGGCCAACTGCTTGACTTCTCAGAGCCTTGTTTTTCATGTGTACAAGGATGAGTAAGAATCCCTGCCCTCCCTTCTTCATTAGGTTGCCACGAGGAGCAAGTGAGATGGATAATGGTCACGTCAGAGCAACGCAGACAACTAAATGCTGGAAGAGTTAAGGGCCATGGCTTCACACAGGTGAGTATCTGAATTTCGACTCTGCCTCCCATCAGCTGAGTGACCCCAGGACATTTGCTCACGCTCTCTCAGCTTTGCTTCCTCATCTCTAGAATGAACCCACTGAGGGATCAAGAGATGGTAGCCTTTTTTCCAACCTGCTGCAAATAGGAGACAACATTATAAGGTCAAACATAATTTCTGCACAGTCTGTATTTCCTTCATTATCAGAAACACTAATCTTTTTTTTTAATTAAAGATTTTATTTATTCATTTGAGAAAGAGAAAGGGAGAGCATGAGCAGGGGGAGAGGCAGAGGGAGAGAGAAAGGGAGAAGCAGGCTCCCCACTGAGCAGGGAGCCTGACAAGGGGCTCGATCCCAGGACCCCAGGATTATGACCTGAGCTGAAGGCAGACGCTTAACCGACTGAGCCACCCAGGCGTCCCAGAAACACTAGTCTGCTAATATGTGACTTCCAATAGGGGGCCTGAGACAAAATAGGTGCTTCATAAATATTTGTTAGGGGGCGCCTGGGTGGCTCAGTCATTAAGCGTCTGCCTTCGGCTCAGGTCATGATCCCAGGGTCCTGGGATCTAGCCCCACATCGGGCTCCCTGCTCAGCGGGAAGCCTGCTTCTCCCTCTCCCACTCCCCCTTCTTGTATTCCCTCTCTCACTGTCTCTCTCTGTCAAATAAATAAATAAAATCTTTTTAAAAATAAATAAATAAATAAATACTTGTTAAATGACTAAATAAAAAAAAAAAAAAACATGTCTTTCTAGGGCTCTTTTAATAAGAACATTAAGGTAAACTGAAGCTTATTTTTCTTTAATACATCCCACCGGCAAATATTCAATTGAGTCTGCCTCCCATACCTTACCTTGGAACAATTTACAATGTTACATGATTCATGAGACTCATGAAATAACCTTTCTGTGAGTTCTTTAAGAGCAGGATTACTTACAAACATGTCTATATCCCCCATGGCACCTGCCGAGGGCTGAAGGTGATAGGTAGGCATTCTCCTCGCTCCATTTTATTCACTCTGTGCCAGAAACATCTTCAGTGAACCGAGTAGCCCCCCTCAGTTACCTTGCTTTTCTCCCTTACCGACAGTGCTTTGTGGTTGGGGGACTGGAGGGTGCTGTGTTGAGTCCCTGGGGGTAATCTCCAAGGTTGGGAAGGATTGCTCTCTATGGGGGGGGGGGGGGCTGAAATCGAGAGACCCAGAAACTCATGGTGAGCAACAGAGCAAAAGCTGAGCCTCGTTTCTAGCTGTGACTTCTGTTAGGCATACCTCCTTAGGCCAGGAAGAACGCTAAAATTACTAAAATAATCTGCTATCCTGCTGCCTACACCAGAAAGCTGTCATGTTCTTTTTGCAAGGCCCTCGGATCAGTAAGCTGGAATTCATCACCTCCATGGCAGGTGCGGAGTGGGTGGGAAAATGGGCTAAGAGGTCCCCAGGCATGCAGGTACGGCCAGCCGCCCTGCCTTGACTTCAGGAGTGAGTTGCTGTGGAATCCCCAGGAAGCTTCCTCTGGATGTCAGAACTGAAGAACAAGTATACAAACCAAGTAAATCTACAAGTACGTGCATTTCTCTCTGTGTGTGTGTGTGTGTGTGTGTGTGTACTCTGTCAAATACATATAAAATGGGTGCGTGTGCATGGTTCCTGACCCTTGGAGCCCCCCAAAACAAGAACAGATCCTTTTTTCCCTCCACAGAACATACAATAACGATTGCTCTGTGTCTAGAAGTCTCGTTTGACAGGGTATTACTTGTCAGTTTTTCCACCACAGAGAAGAAAGGGAGGAGACAGAGGAAGGGAGGGAGGAGTATAAAGGAAAGAGGTAACAGCAAGGACAGTGAAGAGAGAAAGGAGGCAGAAGAACACTTGCTAAAACAATAGCAGGCCCTCTCCTTACTACTTCATGCTATTTGATCTTCATGACAACTCTATGTGATGGGATTGTAGTGTCTGTTCTATTGATGAGATGAGGAAAAGGCAGTTCAGAGAGGTTAAGTAATTTGCTTGAAGTCACACAGGTTTTGATCCTAGGTCCATCTGTGTACAAAAGGCCAGGATGTGGTAAAGCAGGGATCTGAACACAAGGCTTCATTGCATAGCATGATGGTTCCCACAGACCGCAGGGAGGAGAGGAGAAAATGGGAAAGATCCAGGATTCGAGGGGCACGCTTAAAGCTGCTCTTCACAAAGTGTTTCATTTTGGTTACTGACATCCTTAGGGAAATCTCCTTGCCTATCTTCATACTTCTGGGCATTTCACTGGCTGTGAGGGTCAGGCCCTGCCTGGTTCAGGGCCCTTCATTCTCAGGCCCTCCCGCCCACCCCGTTTATGAGGGTTGGACCCTGTGGTCGGATCCCAGGATTAACAATGACCTGGGAAAGATAAAGCCTAACCAAACTGTCCACTTCCACCCATGACCGCCCCTCCCTGCCTGCACTGCATCCAAACTGCCCTCCCTGGTCACCCCTGCAATCCTGGATCAGCTCCTAAATCCAGATAAGCAGCTCCTGGAAGGCAGGAAGCCCCACACTTTGCCTCCGACACCCTCCAGCAGTATCTGGCATAGTGGCTAAGGGCTGGCCTCAGAGTGACACGATTTTAGTCCAGATTCTACGCCTTAGAGGCTACGTGACCTTCTAGGTCACTTTCCCTTTCAGAGCCTTGGCTTTGTGATTGGTTAAATAAGGGCAGTATTCACAGTGTCAGCTCACTGGGTCACTGTGAGGCTAAGTAAGATGTGTGTAGTGTTTGGTGCCATGTGGGGGATGCAGCCGTCGCTCACAGATTGTTAGCTACTGCTGCTATCAACAGCCTCAGCAAGGGTCTATCTCATGTACATGAACAAATGAAGGAATGAATGAATCAACAGCTTGACCTTCTGCACCCCAATGCCTGTTCTGCAAAACTTGTCCGGAGACCCAAATCCTTCTTAATCTGGACCAGACACCTCACAGGTGTTCTGTCATTTACCTTTTCACAACTGTGCACGTGAGGTATCTTTGTCCTATGTGAAGTAAGGAAACTGAGGCACAAAGCCAGAAGGTCCATTATGCAAGGTAGTGCAGCTGATCTTCGCACTAGCTTCAGCATGGCTCCTATGGACCCTCAACTTACTCGCCTGTAAATTGGACTTAGCAATACTTGGAACAGTAGAGCATAGTTGGGGGCACAGAAAGTCAAAGGCTCAGAAAGACTTCGTCAACTCTCATGCTACCACACAGAAGCTGGGCAACCTTGGACAAAGGAATGAATCTCCCAATCACAATTTTCTCATCCACAAGATTGGGTCCCAAGCATCCATACAGAGACAGGTTAGATGTGGGCTCATGGCCGTGGAGAGCTACGCTCAGTGCCTGGTACGTGGTAAACTTATGATCAGCTCTGATTCATGTGTTATACCCGGTTGCTGGGCAAAGAAAACCTGAGCACTGCCAGGATAGCCCTTACAAACTGAGAAGTGCTGTGCACAGGCTCGAGAGAACCATGTGGCCACCTCTATTCCTAGTGGGACATTCCACCCTAAGAAAGCAGACACGTTAATGCAGAAGCAAGAAGAAACTGTCATCCGCATCCTTGCAGATGATCCTTGGTCCAGGCTCCGGCGCTAGCCCACACACACAGAGCTGTACCCCATTTCTTGGTAGTCTTTCTCCACCAACAGCAAGCCAACAGAAAAGCAGGCGATGACACCAGGAAGGTAAGGAGGGCCAGAGTGTCCAGCCAGTGAGTCTGCACACCGGGAGCCAACATGAGCCCTGGAGGTGAAGAAAACACTATAGGGCCACAGCAAGCCAAGGAGGGAGGAGAGGACACAGGGAAAGGCTGTGCAGTTTTAGAAAGCAGGTTAAGAAGACGCCAAGGCTGGAGGGGTGGTGAGCAAAGGCCCTGTTGGCCTCAGGGACGACCTGATGCCAAATCCGATTTGGACTGTGTTCACTTTTGGGCAGTCCAAGACAAACAAGGTTGGAGAAGTGGCAGCGATTTCCAGAAATAAAAATGCCAGTCTGTTACTTAGGGGTTGGTTTGTGTGAGACTGTGAGCATCACAGGTCTTGGGGTGAACAGTTTTACCTTTTTCTTACAGATCTGAGGATTTCACTAAGCTGTCAGGGAGGAAGTGGGAAAGAGACGACGGCAGGAGCAACGGGCGTCCCTGTCCCTAATGGAACCTTCCCTACTAGAAGTCTCTCTAGAGCAGGATCAGCCCACTCCTCTTGTTCTGTTACTGACGGTGAGCCAGACAAGGGTGAGGGTGGGGATGTCAAGGGCAGAGTGCCACGATGGGGAAAGCAGGTGTCTGGGGGCTCAGAGTCCAATGTGGGGATCCCGGATTCCCTCCGAGCTGTGTGTGACAAGCTGGCTGTGATATTTTACCTCCTTGGGCTGCATACAGGCTCGTATCTATAAAATGCTCTGATGGTTCCCAATGTGAAAAGTCATGCCAAGGATTAAACAAGAAAATAAAAGGTCTGGCACTGAAATACTCAACAAGTATCAACCTCTCTATTCCTCTATCCCAAACCAAATCCTTTTGCACCCGCCCCCCTTACTCAAAACCCTTTCTTGGCTCTCCAGGCCCTCAGAATAATGTCAGGACCCCTTGCCTGGCACTCAAGGCCCTTCATGAGGAGGTGTCTGCTTCTTTCTCAGGCCCAGCTCCCCCCAAGTCCCATACCCTGTCCTGGAGCCACAATGAGCAATGAGCATTCCCCCAAAGTGTGATGCTTGGGGCTCTTCCACCCTGGCTGCACCCTCAGCCTAGGGTGCTCTCACCCCTTCATGGTTTAAATAATGACGCTCCCAAAATTCAGGTCCACCCAGAACCTCAGAATGTGATCTTATTTGGAAATAGGGTTGCTGCAGTTTTAACTGGTTGAGATGAGGTCATCCTGGATTGGGTGGGCCCTAAATCCAATGACTGATGTCCTCATAAGAAGAGTAGAGGGCACAGACAAACAGCCAGCCAGCCACACACAGAGAGAGGGGAGAAGGAGGCCATGTAAAGGTAGAGACAGAGATTGCAGTGATGCATCCACAAGCCAAGGAATGCCTAGGATTGCCCGTCACCAACAGAAGCAATTAGGAGGCATGGGACAGATTCTCCATCAGCCTCCAGAATAAGCAAACCCCGCTGACATCTTGATTTTGGACTTCTGGCCTCCTGAACTGTGAGGGAATAAATTTTTGTTGTTTTAAACCTCCCACTCTGTGGTGATTTGTTACGGCAGCCCTAGGAACCTAATACACTCCCCTCCATTTGCTCATCTCAACTCACTCAACCATCTCAGCTCGGAGATCACTTCCTCAGGGAGTCTTGGCCTCTTCAGGTTGGGGCTGGTCTGTGAGATCTCCTCTCACAGCCCCTGTGGTTTTCAATCATCTGCTGCACTTCCACAATATGGTCATTTGGTTGACAGTGTTCCCACTCTAGGTCCTGAGCTGCCATCTACCCCCACCATTTACTCAGCCTAAGATGCAGTACTTGGCCCAGAGAAGGTGCTTAACAAATATCCAGGAGCCTAAAATCTTGACCAGACATGCCAGAGAAATAGAAATCATACCATCCCCATAGCAGCTCTGACCTCAGCATCCAAAGGCACCTGATCAAACCTCACATGGACCCTCCCTGCTGCTCTGCCTTCATCCCCATGTTAGTACCTCCAGCTGATTTGCTTACAGACACCATATCAAACACTGAAAAATATATAAAGATGAAAAATAGAAAGTACCCCAAACTACCCTACTGAGAGAGCCTTCTGAAAAGTCAAACTTAGAACTCCATTCAGCCCGGCCTCATTTTAATCTATTTTTTCATGTTAACTATCCAGGAACGGGAGAAGGAGCCAGAGAAAGAAAAAAAAAGGGGGGGGGGATAATGTGAGAAATGCTTTATTTGACAATGTGTCATTGGGAAACTGATTATTTCTGTCTCCAGCCTTTTTAATATTCCCTCA